TGCCCTCCCCCCCCCCCGCCCGAAACACCAAAAAATATTCACACGCGAACGAAAAACGTGGCAGCCGAGACTGCTGGGCTCTCTGCTGACGGCAATGGTGGAGTTCTCCAAGGTGGCGGCGGGGATGCAAGTGGCCTACGTCGAGCTAACCGGCGTGGGGGTAACGCTCGTGGGAAACGAGGCTACCAACACGTTCTGCGCTCTGTTCCACGACAGAGAAGACGGGGCGACGTTCGGGCGGCTCATCGCATCGGAGGTACGTACTGTATATTTTTACGGTAGGCGGTATTTTTGTTACGGTTATCTTTGCACACGCTCAAGCCACGCGCGAGATAAATTTATCCGCTCCTCCGACCTCCCCCCCTGTGCGGGATGGGAGAGGAATGGGGTTCAAGGATTACCTACATGGACCAATGGATGCAGGGACAAAGCTTCAGGTCAAATTCGGGACCGGGGACATAGGCCTTCGAGAACGTCGACGAAGACGACAAGTTCAAATGTGATTGCGGCTTCGAATGCGAAGACCGTGTTCATGTAGTCGTGGAATGTCCGTGGTACGAAGAGGAGAGGGAAGTGTACATGACTGAGCTGGGAAAAAGACAAGGGACGTACAGGGAGATGTTTGAGGCATGGAATAGAGAGGAGGGGACGGTAGCTGTACTGGGGAGAAGGAAGTGGTTTGAAAAGGCGGGAAGGGATATCGTTAGGATAGACAGACTACAGGGAAGACATTTTTGAGCCACCTTTGGCAAAGTAGGAAGGAACGATTGGCCATCGGTGATCGGTCCTGTGGGAACAATGCTCCGTCCTCTCGAGGACGCGTGGTCAATGGTCTAACCGCTAAGGCATGCAAAACATAAGAGTACGCCCCCCCCTCCGACCTCCCCCCCGGTGTGTGCCATCGGGGTTGGGTTTTCGTCCGTTGGCAAACGACGTCGTAAAACAAGCCGATCGCTTCGTGAGCTCGACAACGAGTTCACCGCTTATTTTTTGCCTTTGATATGTTTTTTGCTGTTACCGCAATGGTAGTCGAGTAGATTATGTTGTGCGGGGTCGAGAATGCTCATTCCGCACAATGGGGATGATCCCGCCACGTCGTGTTAAAATGGAAGTACCCTCGAGGCAGTTACACAGCAGTGCTTAATACTGTCTCTGGAAATGGAAGCACAAGAATAAATTAAGTCATACGCATCTGTCATCCGTTGCAAGGAAGTAAGTGCAAGATGCTGAACACCCCTAGCAGGATGCAGCGCACCCTCCATGCGACTCGCCGAATACCTCACGGCGCTTCGCGCTTGGTGATGTGAGAGCCTGGTCGAGTGAGAACCCGGCGTGCCCCGTCCCGGCTTTGTAGGGATGCGAGGGGCCAATGGTCAAACGACCACGGCATGCACTACTATGAGTACCCCCCCCCCCCCCCCCCCCCCCCTGTGGCTCCGTCCTCTCGAGGACGCGTGGGCAGTGGTCTAACCGCTAAGGCATGTATACATAAGAGTACGTCGCCCTCCCCTTTCCCTCCTTTTTGTTGCTGTTGTTTGTTGTTTTTCCTGATTCACCGGGTGCCGAACGATGGTACACATGTCGTCTCTCGCGTGAAAGCCTATTCTTTGTTTTGTATCCCATGCGGATGTATTGACCGTTTTATGTAGGCACCGCCTTTCGTTCAGCCACCCGAGTGCACGGAGTGCAGTTTTTCAGCAACACATGATGGGCGAGGCCTTCTGCGGCCTTTGAATTTCCGACGTACCGCTGCTTGCACCACCATTGTTGCTGGTCGTCTCTCTCCCGCTAGGGCTGTACGTGCTGAAACCCATCTTCTGTCCTGCTTTGTATGGATATGAAACTGGACATACTCATTGCCTGGGGCATAGGAAAAACATACCCACGAACGAATCGGTCCATATCAACATTGATACCAACGGTCAACACCTCGTCCTTGCGATCAACCCCCGATACTGCTGTACGTCGAAATATTGGAAATGTTCCAGATCCTCAACGCTTTCTTGGAGGCGCACGCGAAAGACATCAAAGAGGCGTCTAGCCTCAACCTCAAGGACTTCATGGCCTTCAAGTATCGAATACCCGGGATCGTGCGAAAATCTGTTCAACCAGTACTGGGGAAACGTGAGAGGGGGGGGGGGGGGCAAAAAAACAAAAAAAAATTGCAAAACCCATATTATACCCCCTTTTACCCCAACCTTTCCTTCCTTGCAAAAAATTACTTTCCCCAGGCTACCCTTACTTCAACCTGCTTTTTATTATTGCACCCAACTTTTATCCCAATTCTAACAAAGGTTCAAGAAAACTTTAAAACTCTTAATTTGGCCCCCCCCCCCCCCCGTTTTTTCCCTCCGGGTTGGGTTTTCCTCCCTTCGCACCCATTTTTTAAAACATCCCCCTTCATTTTCCAACCCCGACAACCCTCTTCCCCTTTTTTTTTTTTTTTCCCCTTTATTTTTTTTTTA